CCTCCTCCTCCTCCCTCTCCTCCTCCTCCCCTCCTCCTCCTCTCCTCCTCCCCCTCCTCCTCCTCCTTCTCCTCCTCCTTCCTCCTCCTCCTCCTCCTCCTCCTCCTCCCCCCCCCTCCTCCTGTCCGCCAGCCTCCTCTACCGGCTGCCTCGTGCCGCCAGCCGGCTCCTCTGCCCACCACGCGGCCGCGCCCGCCCGGGGGCCGCAGCGGCAATGGAGGACCTCGGGCGCTGCCGCGCGAAGGGGGGGGGGCTCCTCCTCCTCCTCCTCCTCCTCCTCCTCCTCCTCCTCCTCCTCCTCCTCCTCCTCCTCCTCCTCGTCCTCCTCCTCCTCCTCGTCCTCCTCCTCCTCCTCGTCCTCGTCCTCCTCCTCCTCCTCCTCCTCCTCTTCCCTCCTCCTCCTCCTCCTCCTCCTCCTCCTCCTCCTCGGCGAGGACGTGGGATGGGAAGAAGGAGCAGAGGAACGGCCCAGGGAGTTGCTGTCTCGGTACCGCTTGGCTTCCCCACAGGAGGGGCGAGGGCGAGTCGCCAGGAAGGACTCGAGGAACAAAACAAAAACATAGGTTTACAAAAACTTTCGGAGGTCCGCGCAGACGTCTGGGATCGGCGCTGGAGCCCCCTGGCGGCGCCTCCAGCGCCGCCCCCCTCGTTGCGCTCCGCGCGCCAGGGAGGGGGGTTCAGCGCCGATGCGTTCGGTCCTCCGAAAGTTCATGTGTACTACGTTTCTGCTGCCAGCTCACCGCAGCGCAGCTCGGCGGCTTAGGCAGCTTAGGTTTGACCCCGCGCTCTAGTTTGCTGCCCGCTGTAAATTAGTAAGGACCGCGCCCCGGACTTACCGACCCGCCGCCTGCGCCTTCGCTTGCGGCCGCGACAAAAAAATACTACGTTTCTGCTCCCCGAATGGACCCAGACGTCTCAGAGCGGAAACTCCGCGCACAGGGCAAGATTGGAGTAAGTCGGGCGCGTCCCCCTACATGAGGAATGTTCAGACAGATCCTACAAATAGTATGGGGACGATTGTCAGGAGGCTCATGGTGGGCAGGGACGGCGGCGTCCATACTTCTCACCCAATGCCCTAAGTCCACATGGGTGAGGCCTGGACACGGCCGCGTGCCCCCAGCCAAAAACACAAACAGCAGACCAGTTTGCCAATGAGAGTCCCAGAAAAGCGGGGGGTAGGAAGGCATGTGGGGGGTGGATGAGGTACGGTAGGACAGAAAGAGGTATGGTGAGAAATTGTTTGACCATGTTTGAATGTTTTTTTAGTCTGTTTTTGGCGCATGCTTTAGTTTTCGTCCAAAACCCGCCTGTAGGAGGACATGCCCGACCTAAGATTGGATAGGCGTCCCCCTCCTCCGCGGCCTCCATTTCGAACCGATGTTGGCCGGCGAGTCTG